AAATTCAGAACTGATTTAGTGCACCAGCTTTAATTACCTCATGATGCCTACTGATTTTATGCAGTCATCTTAATATACTTTCACATAGCAGCTAAATTTATAATCACGCCAATACATCTGCTGTGGAACTGTTTATCACAAAATCTTAACCAAGAATGCCTGATCAATCAATGAAGGATAGTATTTGACCCTGCTGTCATTTACCACTAATTATAAGGGGGTCTGCACGGCAGCACTGGATGAGATTTTCTGAGGCAGTAGCTGCTTACTGATGTAGGCCCGGGGAAAATGTTATCAATTGTGCTCACGCAGACAGACCAGGAATGGTACCACTGAAGTGTTCAATGACACAGTTTTAAAGCCTGTCAGATCATAGAAACAAATCAGAATCAGTTTAGCCTGGCTTAGTGATAGAGTGGAGGGTCCCACGGGAACATCAAGTTACTGATATAGGCTCTGTTGGTAGACTAGTAGGTGGTACTCTTTCATCTGGGAGAGCAATTCTGAAACTTGGACCTAGAGCACTGACAGCAGGCCTTCACAGAGAAGCAGCTCTTCAGCAGAGATGCTAAACTAAAATTCTGTGGGACACAAACCCAGGGACAGTTGTCTCTTTACCAGGATCACAGCAACCATCAACATGGATTTATGAAAGACGATTGTGATCAAGGTGCACTGTACCAGTGGTGGAGATATTGTGTTATGTAGCATACTGGACCAAAATGCTTACCACATTCCTTCACTTCTGAGGTGGGCGCATTTCAGATAGCAGTTATTGGTGCACACTAAATTGGAGGTTTATCGTAAAACAACTTCAGACAGGCAGTTTGAACATGGCATTTAATATCTTCTAATAATATCTTTTTGCTTGGAGGATTCTGTTGCTTAGGACTATTGTACAATGGATTTGAAAAGATTATTGATAATATCACCAACAGTGATAGTTTCTTTTTACTTTTGTCTTGTGGACTGCAGATGGTCCTCGGAATGTGTTGTTTCATTTTTCGCTGTTTTGCACGTACATATCTCATTTACCGATCTCTTTCGAATTTGGAGGTATTTTTTGGTGAAAGGTGAAGGGCAGGGATCGACAAAAAACAATGCGGGTGCTCATCACACCGTTTTGGTGGAAGTGACATGATACGACAAGATGAATGTTTGAAGTGCATGCATAAAGCCGTTTCAACACTGTTTTGTGTATTTTACTGTACTTACAAATGCTTTGGTTTTCCTGGACGCCAATTGGTGCTGTACACGTACGATTACAGCCTTATGCAGCTGTTTCTTATAACACAGAAATCCCTGATGGTCATCACAATGGTGACTTAAATAGCTTGGCAAAATATATTCCTCCTTTGTTACACTGATTTTTATGGGAAAAAAAAGCAGCAGAGTGGTGAAGTGGTTAGCACTGCTGCCTCGCTGTGCCGGAGCTCCTGGATTCAATTCCAGGCCCGAAGTCACGCTATCTGTGTGGCGTTTTTACTTTCTCCCCGTGATCACAAATTCAATAGCAAATTCGATAAGCCCCTCAACATCTGCCACATCAACCTCGGGCTCCAGCTCCTGAGCATGTTCAACCATTTGTTTGGGCCACTTCCTCAAAGGCAGCGTCTTTATAAAAACCTTGGAAGCCGCGCACCAGCGGCAGGCAATGCTTCTTCCGCATGCTGTTCGCACAGCCTATGGAAACCTCCACCCAGGCTGTAGCAATATTCTTCTTTGCCTTGATAAATATCGTTTCCCTTCCAGAAGTCCCGTAAGGCTCTTTCTCGATCATATCAATGGTTGAGATAGCCATACCAGCGTCCCGTGTCACTGAACGAAGAGATCGACTTCCATCAAAGCACTTGTGCGGATTTTGCGCTCAAGCTCAACCACAACCACAAGACACTTCTTGTGGTTTGAGGAATAATCACCTGGGTGCTTCTCCGGCATAAAAGCGATACAGGTTATTCACAATTTCAGGGAGAAATTCAGGGAGCAAGAGATGATACCACATACGTGCAGAAAAAACACAACCCGATACTGACTATAAAATGGCACCCTGGTGGATTCTGGTGATGACTGCAACTCAATTCTTATGTAACCAGGGGAGTAGGTGTATAGAACTTATTAAATATATTTTTGTAAAGGGAAAATCTTTGGTCTCCCTAGACAGCATTCTGTGCTCATAATCTAATCATTTTAATCTCCTTAGATGGCTTTTTTCTTGTTCTTATAAAGCATTCTGTTCTCCCTGCCTGCATAGTGCTTTTTTGTCCTTGCATTGAAGGTTGTTAATTCTCATAAATGTTTCTGTTGTCCATGTACAGTAGTCTTCTTCTCCATATACAACATGTTGGGCTTTATATAAATCATTCTGTTCTTCATATGCAGCATTTCGTTATCTACAGTATATACAGCACTTTGTACTCCATTCCAGAAGCCTCTATTGAAGTATTACCTTTCTTCACTGGTTAAATGAAAAAGCTTTTGTCATTTCACTTCTTTTGAGGACAGACATTTGCTTACTGCAGTAATGTCTTTCTCAGAGTCCTGGTGGCCTGTTGAAAAGTGTTTGACTTTCCAAAACGTAACAAGGTCCTCAGAGAACTAAATGTGTTTTCCCACCATTACCAATGCATCCCACAATGCCACAGCACGTCACATGTAATGTTCTTAGAGAACTGTTTTTAAAAACAAAATAAAAATATTGTAGAGCAGGGGGTCAGAATACATACATCATTTCTGGACAGGAATTGTTTAGGGAAAGCACTAATTAGGTACAATTTGTTCAAAGGTTAATTTGAGCTACAAGTCACACTCTGTCAACTATCAGCTGGATAATTTGTATTAGCCTGAAAGAATAAGGATGTTTTTTTTCCATCAAAACCGTTTTTAATCAAAAAGGTGATTGAATCAACAGTTAATTCCTGCAAGCCGCAAACCATCCACTCTATTTTTAAGCATAATTACCAAGTTGAATGGGTTCGTAGGTGATCTGAAAGACACGATGTCATTATTTTGCAGATCTCAAAATAGGTCAAAGCACATGATGCAGGATAAAAACATACAGATTTGTACTTCTTAAATGTTCTCACTGTTCTAACACTTTATTCACTGATCTCTTTCGAAGTGTTAGTAGAAACGACAGAATATGCAGTGTCATATTGTATTATGCTATGTGCATAGTAGTAAATTATATAGTAGTGTTATAGAATACGAAATAAAGGAGAAATCTATTCAAGAGTAAACGTGTACTCTTTCAAGCAGTAGTCAAAGTGACCAAAAAACGTGAATTCCACAAAATAAGTATTTTTTAATAAACACATGAGATGGCTGGACATATAATGGTGTAATATCTATAATACAAGTAATAGCTTGGGCTTCCTCTTACATGTATTTGCAAAAACACTCAGGAGAAAATGTAATAAAAGAAATCTTGTAAAAGAACGAAATGTGCTTTAACTTAAATAACAACGTCCTGTAGGTTGAATAGTAAGTAACTAAAGCAGACACTACACTTCCGAAACTGTTAAGTGAATGAGTGTCTTGTTACAGAGTTCTTGTCTTTAAAGAGAAAGTTGAAACGTGATATTTACTTAGCAATTAATGCTTGTCGTTGTGCTTTCGCGGTACATAACATTTTGTTTGGACACACTTTTCAGATATTCAAAACATTCTGTCAAGAGATATCTTCTGGTTACGTGCATACCAGCAAAATATTTTCATGTTACGTAAATAAAAACACTACCCTCAAATTAGAATCAGTATCAGGTAAACATGACTCGCGTAGTCCCTGTATATAGAGGATGTTTGCATCACATGCTTAAAAATGGAGAACGTAGAAGCATATTGCAGAAATCCAGAAAGTAAGGGCACAGTCTCTTCTGTTTTGAAAAATGTAACATTACATTTTGACAAAGATCGACAATATAATATGGAAGAGTGCCCGATCAAATCGAAACAAGACATTCACCTCCCAGTTCATGCTCTGCATACGACTACGTAAGAGATAACCAACTATTCAATAAGTCATCTTGTCGTGGAGCATACGGTTATCGTTATTATAGGCCCACATCGGTGTATCCCTAAAACCCCTGTAAAACAAGTACATTGAGGTTACGATATTTACTGTTTAATTACAAAGATTCGTCACAATGAAAAATGAAGTTTTCAAGTTCCATAAGAGGAATTGATTACGCACAACCAGATTAGGGTCGCTGTTTTGTGGACAAAACCACCATCCGAATGGCATGGTTAATTCTTTTAAGAAAAATGCGGTCAGCCAGCACCCCTGAAATGCTCTTGGATCTGCTGGGTGTCTTTACGCCATCCCTTTTTGATAGGGATTTCACTCAAGTAACAACATGCAGTTCATTCTACAACTAATGATTCAATCTTTATTATATACTTTTTCGTGATCTCTAAAATAAAACAGGTACAACTACTATAGTGATATATTCTACTACAAGCAACATAGTGTACCAGTCGGTTGCACGCAATACAAGTTGAAACTCGGGACATTTAATTTTTTTACCTCCCTTTTACCTTTTTTTAAACGCGAGAAAACGCACTTCTAAAACCAAGAAGGTACGTGACTTACACTAGTTTGTAACTGCATATGTAAAACCTGCTTGGGGTGCTGAACATTTAGTCCAGTCAATTCTTTATTTACCATGATAAAAGTAATCGAGCACCTCCATTGAAATTTGTCTCGCTTTGAAAACCGATTAAAAATATCAGCTGTCTCTAGTTCAGAATGACTTGTAATGCCTCCCCCCAAAAAAGGCTTTGCCTTTGTGGTATATTTATACAGATGGGAAACATCCAAGCGTTTTAAGTTTTTTTTTTTAAAATAAGCTAATAAAAACACTTGTACAGTATTTGCATTTATTAAGTGCAAACACGCGCAGAGAAGTTAAATGAGATTCTTATAACTTGTTACCTGACAGCACACATCGTAATCCACACTGTGGCCACACTCACAGTATTAACGAAATTAAAAATGACCTTACCTTGCATATGCTGCAAAATCTTGAAAGGATCCTTATGCGACGTTTATTAACGGCCTTATGCAACTGTCCGATGCTAGAATTTGTTTCTTGAAGAGAAATTAGTCAAATGGTCATGGCAGTAACTTCATTAGTACGCGATGAATAAACCTGTTAAGCAAGGACGTATAGGTGGTCACAGGCAAAACTCTGACAATTTAACTATAGGTATCTTCCCATTTGTTGCGGCTATTTTTTTATCTGTCAACGTGAAACTGTCCTATTCTTGGACGACTTCAGGTCCGCAATTGTAGCCTCTTCCTTCCTGCCAACTAGAGCTCCGTGAATCGAAGATCGATTAGACATTCTGACTTGGCCTGCTGAAGATCAGCGCTCAATTCCTTTAGTCTGGAGATGTTTATATCCTTTATTTCCAGTATATCAGGATAAAACGTAATAAAATGAATGCTATTCCCCACCATTTTTAAACAGCGAAAGCATTAAGAAACCCACAAAGAAATATCACTCTTTCATTACAGAACTGAAATTTTAATTTTCCGTAATGTAGGAGGTCTGAGTTGATCAGTTAGTGTCTTGCGCCCCCTGGTAGCCAAAAATTACATTTACATTTTCAAAATGTATTCCAAGGAAAACTGATTCTTCGACATTCAGAATCTGAATGATAGAATATTGAGAGAAGACCATTAAGTTGAGTTCTGATAAGGTTTTGAAAAATGTGTCCCTTATTTATTTAAACTGAGAGCTTGATCTAGGCCAAACCCTGATTCCACTTATCTGACAGTAGTCTGATTCTCCACTGTAGTATCACATCAATTGGTGAAAGAACAAGCAACATGTACTGATGATAATTTTCCTCTTTATACCACTATATATATATTATTGTTGTTATGAAGATGAACAATATAATATATATATATATCCTTTGTGTGCTTTCATCACTTAAAAGGTCACCTTCACACTTGTCCAATTTGCAGTTTTTGGCCAACATCAGTGCAACATCAAAGATAGTGAATAGATTGCACTAGTCAAACAATTTAAAAAATCTTGGAGAGAAACAGCATTCTTTATATCCTGTTCTATTTAAGCTCTAATTACCTGAATCTTTTTATGCCTTAGTCAATCAAGGATCTCCAACTGAAGGCATCTACAGTGCCTTGCGAAAG